TTTTTTTTTTTTTTTTTTTTTTTTTTTTTTTTTGGTATTGGACCTTGTGCTTCTGAAGTAGGCACTGGCAACACTGAGCTAAATCTCCAGCCCTTGATAATTTATTTTTAAGAATACTAATACTATTAAAGTATTTTGGAATTAGAAGGGGCAATCTATGGTATACAGTAGTAAAATCCAGATAATGTTCTCCTTGGATCCAAAGTTTTCAACTGCAAGGAAGGAGATGGTCCCTTCTCTTTACTTTTACCAGAAACATATGCAGCGTTGCAGTGAAGAGGCAAAGGACTGTATGGAGGGAGTTGGTGGTGGGTTCTCAGTCTGCTCATTTTAGCACCTGCTTCCAGTCTTAAATTACTGATTCACATCACATGTCTTGTCTGTGGTAATAACCAGAAAATTTCCCCAACACCTTTAGAGCCTTTACCCTGCCCACAGTTTCCTTCAGTTTAGCTCTAAAAATTGGGAATGGAGCCAGGTGTGATGGTGTAGCCTGTAATAGAACTCTGGGAGGCTGAGGCAGAAAGATCTTAAATTCCGGCCCCGACAGTGAAACTTAGTGACTTAATGAGAACCTATCTCAGAATTTGAAAAAAAAAAATACTTGTGAGGGGGTCTAAAATTGTAGCTCAGGAAGAAGGTCCTGGGTTCAATTCCCCAGCATCGTGCATAACAACCCCAGAAACAAAAAACATGAGACTAGAGGGCAGAGGTTGGTTACATTCTTCTCTGTGTCTGAGTCTTGTGTTTTTATCTCTTATCTATCATGCAAATAAATGCTATTGATCCCTTCAAGATCTGGTCACACAGCTGTAATCATTGGATTCTAGGAGAATAAGGCAAGAAGAGCACAAATTCATCCTGCGAAATTCACTGACTTGATACCTTGTAGAAAATGGAATAAAATAAAAATCATGGCTGTGAATATTCCCAGTATAAAGGTCCTGGGTTCAAACCCCAATATTGTCCTCCCCTAAAGAGATGAAAGAGAATTAAAAAAGAAATGAGTACCAATAAGCTAACAAGCAAAACAAAGAAATGTAAGGAGAAAATAAAAATATAAAATAAGCATGAAATAAAATAAGTTAATTTTATAATAATTTTATAATAATTCCTCCAGTAAAATGCACTGACAAAAGAAAAATCTGATCATAGAGTCCTTAAGGTATGCACACATAAGAAAATGATTAAAAAGTTGAATACCTAGAGGTCAAACAAATGACAGCAGAAAATTAAAACAAGAGGAAAGCTGCAGAAGCAGTGTCAACATCAAACAAATGAGCACTTAAGGTTTAAGAAGATCTAAATAGTAAAAGAAGGCATTTTGTAATGTATAGTTAGGACAAAAATGTGATAGTGACCCCGTCTGTGTGCTCCAAATAACAGAACTGTTGAATATAAAAACTAATAAGGTTATTATATAGTGAGGGAGATATAAAAAATCTAATAATAGAAGTCACACTTTATGATTCTAATCTAATATTATAGTTAATAATTCAGAAATGATCTTTCTGACAAAGATTTAGAGAAACATTTTCTTATCAATTGCTTATCAAAATGTGGTTTTAAAAAAGCTATCTGGTAAGCCGGGCATGGTGGTGCACACCTGTAATCCCAGCACTCAGGAGGCTGAGGCAGGAAGATCGCTGTGAGTTCGAGACCAGCCTGGGCTACAGTCTCAACTACATAGTGAGACTCTGTCTCAAAAAGCAAAAAATCAAAAAATCAAAAAATCAAAAAAGCTATCTGGCAATGTCTGTTACATTGAAAATATGTAAATTCTTTGATCCAACAATTCAACCCTGAAAATCTATCTATCATAAAAATAAAAACAGTATAGATGAACATACATTCAAGGATTTTACTGTAACTTTCATTTTGATGGGAAAATAAAAATGGAGAGTGTAAATGTTTATTAGTAGGGAATGATTAAATAAATTATAGTACAATTTCAGCATAATGTTATATGACTACTAGCAAAGAATTAATTAGAGATAAAATTGTTGTTTTAAAATTCCATCAGATACTATTGAATAAGGAAGGCTATAGGAGAACATCTACAATATCTTATCTCCTTTTTGTTCAGTGAAGAACAAAATGTATAAATGTATACATCCGTGTGTGTGTTTATATCCTGTTATATGAACATGGAGAAAATAAAATGGTTATATATATGCAGCAGACAGGAGTTAAGGAACCATGGAAAGAAAATTTGAGGGGAGATCAAGGGAAGCAAAAACCTCATTTTTAAGAAAAAAGAAAGATTTGTATCTTATGATACAAATTGTTGATATAACTAAGAGTTCTTTTTAAATGAAAAACAGAGGTTTATGAATGCAGATGTATTATGGTTTAGCTCTAAAATGTTTACCAGAAGTCTCATGTTTGGAGTTGAGGCCTGGTCATACGGGCGAGCTTTGAAGAATAATTTGGAAGCGAGGCTTCTCCTTTGTCTTTCTGCTTTTTGGCCAATACTTGAGTTGTTTTCCTCTTCCCTGGTTTTCTGCCTTGCTGTTTCTGCCTTTAATCCAGCTGACCATAGACTGAAGCCACTGGAACTGTGAGCCGAAACAAACTTTTCCTCCTCTAAATTGTGGGTGTTGAGTGTTTTGTCCTAGAGACAGGAAAGTGAACCAATACAGCATGCCCTGATTTATTTCAGTTAAAAGCCTGTGTCTCTAGGAAAGTCATTTTTTGAACAAATAATATTTTACATGAGAACAAAGAAAATGTTAGACTTTTAGGAGTTAGTCTCTTTGATAGGGACTTTATTATCTAAATATGTATGTCATTACATTTTAATGCACGAGTGTGAAAATCTCATTAAATCAAAAATTGTTGCTGGTAGACAGAATTGTGAAGATGGGTCCCAAAGACGTCTAAGCTGCAATCTTCATAACATTGTTACATTAGGAGGGAGATTATCTGGGTGAACCTAATCTAATCACATGAACCTTTAAAAGCAGAGAGCTTTCTTTGGATGGTACCAGAAGACTAATTGGAGAGGCTCGGTGCATGCAAGGAGTGAAACCTCCTGCTGTTGACTCGAAAGAAGATGGAACTACCTGGAAAGTGAGAGCAGAAAATGAAATCTGCCAGCACCAGCATGCCTGAAAAACATCACAGGATGCAGATTAGAACTGCAGCTATGGCCAATCCACTGCCTGTAGCCTTGTGAGCCTTTTAAGTAGAGAAACCAACTGAGCCATGCTATGCCCAGATTTCTGAGCCACAGAAAGTGTGAGATAATATATGGGTTTTGCTTTAAGCCACAAATTTGTAGTAATTTGTTCCAGCAGCATTAAATAATTCTAAATAATAAAAGTATTATCTAGTGTTTAAAAATGTATATAAGTAGGAAATGTGGTGCAGTTTCTCAAGTAAAATACAACAAAAAGGCTAAACGTGTAGACTTTGAGGTCAAGCAGAGTTGGGACTAACTTTTGTTACTAATAAGCTGTTTGATTTGGGAGAAGATCTTTGATATGAATCTCAATTTCCAAACTCATCAAATAGTGTAATGGTAACTAGTTTAACAGTGTGTGTGTGTGTGTGCGTGTGTATGTGTGTGTGTGTGTGTGTGTGTGTGAAGTAAACACATATATATGGGGTTCTGAGAAAAGACTAATATATACATTCCATTACTACTTCATATTTTTCTAGCTACCAATTGTATACTGAAAATGTACATTAAAAGGATTTAAAAGGAATATTTAAATCCTAAATAAAAATGTTTATTCCACTCCCTTGTCCTCTTTTCCCTTTCTCATCTTGATACATCTTGACTATATCAACCTCTCTAGCATCAAAATCTACTTTTGACTCAAAGTAAACTGGCTCTTCCAGGGATTTGCATGGTCCCAGAGCAGCAGTCTGAAGTGTCAAATGGATGCCTCACCCATCTGACTTTTCCTGGTGTCTATCTTTACCTTGGCACAGTCCGCTGGGTCCAGAGGACTGCAGCGATGTCTGGGGACATTTCTGGTGGGGGTGAAGAGTTGGGTGCTACTGGCTTTCAGTAGGCAGAAAGCAGGTATGCAGCTTAACCAAGTCCAGGACCACCTCAAAGAACAGCGCACTCCAAAATGTCACAGGTGCTGAGCCTCAGGCACCCTTATCCTTGTTAGTTGTGGGTGACATGAAAAAGCTAACTCAAGTGAGGAGCATGGGATGTAGGCAGAAAACAAAATTCCTTCACATCAGTGCCTCATATGGGACCATCCACAGGAGGTGTAGGGGAGTTTCTTTGGAAACAATTCCAGGAATGTAGCTGGTAATAGAGAATCCTACCTGAAAGAGGAAGAGGAAGTAGACCAGAAAGAGCTTCTTCTTATCAACTGCATCGCCATGATGTGACTGGTAGCGGATTCCTACTTGAAGTTCCTAAGCTGACTGAGTTAAAACTGGGGACACAGAACAGCTTGGTGCTTTTAGAATTTATCCTTTTACCCCCATTTGTCAGGCTTTATATAAGCTCTTAGATTTCAGCAGTGTAAGCTTACATATCCTCTGGAGTGAAAATCTGTAATATATTTTTCCCACCTTTTTGTTTTTAACCCCAGGGAGCATTTCTAATAAAACGGATCTCTGCCCTACGGACTGTGATCTTGGTCTCTTAAAAGAAGACCATGAATTCCACTCTAAGGTAAGATGAAGGCTGTAGAAGCTGGCATCAGAAAGGCCATGAAAACAACAGCCCCTGACTATTAACTGTGATTTCTGAAAATGTATTTCCACGTAGAAAGTAATTTGGTCTTCAAAGCAGGGTTTGAAGTGCGGGGCCATGCTAAAGCAGCTGATGTCTGAGAAATCAGCAATGCCAATAAATTTTTATTACATCCGAGTCAGACTTCTTCAAACTGTTGCAGACTTTAGTTAAATTAATCAGTCTGCAAGACTTTTTCCAGCTTGGGCAGGGTGAATAGAAAATGTGCTGATTGTGCTGCGTTTCGGTTGTTTATTTGGTGTTCTCATGGCTGCCACAAAGTCTGTATGGAAGCTGTCTTGATAAACTTACCTAAATTAAGTGGCCTGAGTTTTGCAAACATTGCTTAAACTCAACTTTACTGTTATACTTGGACCCACTTTTTAGACAGAGTACTTAACCATTTTCAAAATCTGAGCCTTCCTAGACTAAGTGTAAAGTATTTAACAAACTCAGCTTGGTTAGAAAACTAAAATAAAAAGATTTTTCCCCAGCCTGGACCCTTGCCTTCTAAATTGTCTGAATCATCATTCTCATTCTTCATTCTGCTCATAAAATATAGTTAAGAGTTGCGTTATAGTGTTTCAGTAAATGGTGTATTTCTCATGTGGCAGTGGTCCCGTAAGAATACATTTTCATTTAGTGTGTAGCCATTTAAATTTGTGTAAATTGAGGATACTCACCACGATGAAACTGCCAAGCTATGCGTTTCTCAGAGCACGTCCCTATCATTAAGAGCACCATGACTGGTTAGGTTTGTCTGGACAACTTTTATGCCTTGCTCTCAAAATTAACTTTAAAGTCAGCGATTTTTCTGTCTTATCTCTAAATAGTTGTATCTATCATAAAAATGACAGGACTTTTAAATATTCAGGTGGCCACTACAACTTTTACAGTTGTGATCATTTCTCGATCATTGGCTAAAAAAAAAAAGCTTAGGAATCAAAAGTTTAGTAAAATGGATACATATTGAGGCCATGCTCTTAAGTGAAATAAATATGACACATGTGTAAATCCTGAATAGTTTCTCTGGTGTGAAAAACTAAAAGTATAAATAAGATTCAAATTGTGTAACTGACAATGTGAAATAGGAAGAAAAGGGCTAAAGTGTAGGGGAGTTGAGAGGGGTAGGGGAAAGGAAATAAGGGAAAAGAAAAAATATGAGAAAAGGAAAAAATGGAAGCAAAGTCTTTGTAAACAGGGAAGGGTGGAGGGGCTGAGGGGAAGACAGGGGAATGGAGAAAAAATAAGAATCAAGATACATCATGTAAAGGTACAAGATCTCGATGAATGTAACTGTACTGTATACCTAAAAAATACCAATGAACTTACTGAAAATTGTTTAGTAAAATTTGTAACAATGACATAGTAAACATATTCCAAATGTTAGGAGATTAAGAAGTTGGCAAATGTTTTCAGCCTTCTACATCAAATAACTTATAATAAACTAAAGGGGTACATGTTGCTATTATCATCATTATCCTCCTTACAGCTGAGAAAAATGAAACAGTAAATTAGCTGAAATTGCATCACTAGTAAATACACAGCTAAGCTTTGAACCAAGATGATTTGGCTCTAAAATACACATTTCTATTAATCATTAAATAATCCGTAGGGAAAAAATCACATGTCCCTTTCTTCTTTTTGCCAGGTATATTTTATACTTCTTATTTTTTATAACTTTCATTTAAGGACTATGATGTGACAATCAAGGGACCCAAAATATGGTTGAAGTAAAACTAAACATGCTCTTAGTATATATTAGGTTGTAAGTGCAATGTCAGTGCTGTGGGAAGACGGAACCCGAAAGCACAGTTGCATTACAAAGGACCGAGTGTTGTAGGAATGGACAGATACTGCGCTTTCTAGGCACAGAAACTCCGTCCTCTTCACAGAAAGCAGTCTTAGTGTGACACTCCATACTCCAAGTTAAGAATTTTACTTTTTTCCCATGTCATGGTATCGGGAATTAATTTGTCTCCTCAGTTGACACTAAAGTTGCCAATCTAGGCAGTTCATTCAGTTGCTATGGGCAAATGAGGTGAGGCATCCATTTTTCAAAAGTTCACGATGGGAGAACTGTCCAACTTTGTGATTTCAAGAGGCCAGGGAAGCTAACTGTCCTCCAGAAAAAGATCACCAAGGGGGTTAGCTACTTAATGGAGTCATTGAAGGTAAATCCTAAGCTATAGCTTGTTTTCTCCCGAGTATGGTTAAGGGGAAGCCTGTCCTGTAAGAATTGCCTGGCAAACACATCAGAGATGAATTTAAGAAGGAAAGCAGTACTCCTTCTGGCTGGTCTCAGGACTTCGGCTGGATTTAGTTTGGAGCCATGGATCTTTTGAGTGATAGCAGTAGCAGTGATGGAAAGAACGTGATGTCATGTTATTTGCTTTGATACTTCAGATGCACCTGGTATTTGTTGTTGACGTCTCTGACTCGGATTGTGTGATCTTACCCACACAAGCCGTGTCTCCACCACAGCCCTTCCTCCTTTGCCTGGTGAGCATCGCTGGAGCAGGCATTAACGCTTCCGTGGCCTCCTTCTGATCTTCCCAGGGCATTTCAAAAGATTCATAATCCTCAGGATTCAGCCCTTTGTTCACTATTTCCGTTTTCTAAGGCTCTCTCTTTTGATGAAAACAGCCTCCTTGCACTTCATCCGGCCAGACGGGCAGGAGAACCGTTCCTCCCGGGGACTAGCGCAAAGACCCTGGCAGGGGCTTGGGAGAGAAATCCTGTGGCTAAGTGGAGCTTAATGGTGGTAACCTGAGGCTTCTCTATGGTGCTGGTGTCATTGCTGGGTGCAGTGCGGGCTCTCTCTGCATGAGGACCTAACCTGTCACTGACCCTCTCGTCCTCACCCTTGTCCCCAAACCCATGGGTCCATGGCAGGAATTATGACTAAAAGGCAAAAGCTTCTGAAGAGTAAGCCGTACAGAAACCCTGAGCTTTGTTTCTTACCACGTAACTATATTCCAAGAGATGTGCCGTGAGCTCAGGGGAGCTTTGAGATCTGGCTCCTGGCATTTCTTGCGCAGTGAGCTCACACCATATAGTGGATTGGCCAGATGCAGCTTACATCCTGAGTACTTTAAAACTTTTAAAATGCTACTCCCCACAACTCCAAGAAAAATTATCGACATATATAAATTACCGTGGTATACAAACTGATACATATGATACAATTTATAATCTATATCATTAATAAATAATGCATTAGAGCACTTGCAATTTATAATCGTGCTATATTTATATATTATAAATATGCTATGTAAACATATTAATTATATGTAATAAGTACATATGAATCAAATATATTTTCATAAAATTTCTGTGATCTGTGTGAGACACATAAAATTTCTAGTTTTCAGGTTTAAAACTTTAATGCGGTGCCTTATCCCTCTAAATTACTAAGTAGTGAGAAGACTTGAATGTGTTTCTTCTGACCATACTTTGATTGCCCTTTTCACTATGATGCTACAATTTCAAGTTTTCAAAAATTTCTCAAAACACGTTTTTTCCCCTCAGTTTATTTTGTTTTTGGAAGAGTGGGCATTCATTGCTCCTTAACCAATGCTGTATTTAAACAGCAATCTTCACAAGCAAAATATTTAGTCCACAAACCTGAAAATCAGATTGTGAATTTTAGTGGTTTTTTTTGAAATGTTTGTTTTTGATTTCTGTAGTGGATAAGGATATGAACAATTTACACATAATATATAAAATGCTATGTCCCTCACTGAAGTATAGAGATTTTTCTTTCTAAGGACATTGGTTTAGTGCAAATCTCCCTTTATAAAAGTGATATGTCCTTTGACTTCAGGGTACAGACAGGGGTTACTGTTGTAATGGGCCAAAGGGTCTATTTTCAGTCTTTGAAATGTTGACTATATTGTAGTTGAGGTAGTATTTATCTGGCATAGAATTAAGATATAAATTTGTGCCTAGGGATTTCTCTGTATGTGTTCATCTCTGTTTTGAAGTCAAAACTCTTATTCTTTGTTTTGTCCCTTTTTTCTTTGGGGGCTCATTTCTTTGGAGATGAACTCGTTTCCATGATTTCGTGTTTTCCAGAAAAACTCATTTGGAGGAATTTCCAATGCATTAGCTTAGACATTCTGTAATGGAAATACAGAAGTTAAGAAAAGTTGTGTGAATTTTAGAATACATAGGTGTTTTCCTTTATGCTTTAGCAGCGGAGGTGAAGTCCATTGTTGTTAACTGTTAAGTACTTAAGTAAATGATCTCTGATAGCTAATTCTTGAGCATCTATTATGTGCTTTTGCTATGTTATATAATTAGAAGGTGTGAAAGGAAAAAAGAAATATACCGTATGTCCTTTCCACCATAAATTTAGTTGAAGAGACAGGACAGATATGCATACATTAGCCAAACAGAAAGCAGTGTAATCTACTCTGCCATGAGGCATCCATATTTGCAGGTTAGGAGCTTTGGTGAGTAAACCACATGTATGGAGTCACTGTTGACAGTTATTTCAGCTTTTGTGAGATTGAACAAAGTAAGCAACTCACAAAGAGATGACATCAAATGATAATTCACATGAATACCAGGCATATGGGATACTTCAAACCTCTTATATTTTTTCAAATTTTTTCACTCTTAAATTGACAATTAAAAATACCAGCCCTGAATAATCAGATCAAAAACCACTTTCATTGTTACAAGAGCTATAGAGGTTAGGAAAGATAAAAAGGATCGTAATGAAAGGTACTTCAAATTGATGGCTGTCATACTTGGATTTTGTTCTTGAGGTAATCAAATCAATCAACCCCATAATAAGAGGAATGAGCTGGCTGAGAACATAGGGATTTGATGACACATCTACCCCACCTGTGTTTCTCTCTACAGTTTTCCTAGTTACTGCAGCCTGCCAACCCAAAAAACATTTTGCAATTGCAAAATATTACAAAGGCAGAGCTTTGCTAAAATGTAAGAATTGAGGGCAAGGAATTAAATTACCAGCCGCTTAATACTTGCAGTTAATTACTAATACAGTGGGCCCTTGAGTTACAACTGGCCTGACTTATGAACGACTTGGGTTATGACAGGAATTTTAGTTATGACTAAAGTCATAAGTTATGACCCAAATGCCGGCCACTTTTGCTTCCAGATGGTCTCAGATACAGATTTAACCCATAAATAGTTCTGGAAGGAACATGACAACATCCTTTCCCGTGTGGGGTGAATGAGTAATCCTGGGCCAGTGTCTCTGTAAAGACACTGAGATCTGCCTGTGTACAGGAGAGAGAATTTGAAGGCTGTGTAGAAGAGCCTGAGCCTTCAGTTGACCAACTTGAGTTACAACTAGCCCTTGAAAACGAATTGAGGTTGTTGTAAGTCAAGGGTCCACCATAATAATTAAAAGTGCATAAAGAAAAGGAGAGTTTTAACAGAACTTTCTTATAAATGTAAGTAATGCCCAATTTTCTGCTTTTCTAGATAGATGAATTCCAAACTACTTTTTCTCACTAGCATTTTTGAAAACCAACAACAACAAAAAAAAGCTTTTCAAGATACTCCCATATAGCAAACAGGTCAAAGCTGTTTGGGTACAAGAGGCAAGAAGAGTTCCTCTAGTTTAGCTGTTTGAATTTGAGCTCTTACTTATTTTCTTTATAATTTTTGTTTGTTTCATCAGGACTTTGGGCTGCAGGTAAAAGAAATATAGCTTGAACTAGCTCTTAGCAAACCAGAGTCAGAAGGAAGATAACCTGCAGCCCAAAGTCCTGATGAAATACAAATGCCATGCCCATGTTTGTTTTTAATTGTAACAACATTTATAGAAGCCATGCCATGTGATATAATACAAAGGTGAATACAAATATCACTTATCCAGTCACATTCTTTGCAACTCCTCCTGACCTTCATGTAAACTTAGATGCCAAAACACTTCCATCAATAGCTGGAATGTAGACTTCAGGGTAAGCAGTGAATTAAGATATGCCGTGTACAGGCACCAAATACCTGCAACAAATGTAACCAAGGTATGCCATAAACACAGGCTGACAGCAGTAATAGCAACAAGAATGTAAGTGGGGAAAGGGGATTTAGAGACAGGGAGAGATGTGGAAAAGGGAAGAGATTGGAAACAGAAAGAAGCGCTGTTATGTACATGTACCTCAGTCCCTAAGATGAATACAAACTGTGAACATGTACCAACGAAATAAAAATTAAAACTGAAAAGAGAGGGAGTGAAACTTGCCTGTGAACAAGAAGCATCAGACGTGAAGAGAAGACAGAGTCCAGATGACAGTGGCGTCTGCCATTATGAAGACAAGAATTCAGTGATGAGACACTCTGGAGTTTGTAGCAATGTAAGAACTATGGCTAATATGCTTCTTTATGATCATTGCTTTTATAAGTCATTCTGGGGAAAATGTCCCTGCTTCCAGGTGAACCTTCCATCTGCTATTAACAAAATACTTCATTTTTTTCATTTATTATTTTCACTGATAAGGGAGGTAGCCTGACCGATCATTCAGTGAAGGAAAAACCAACCATTTGTAAACCTGGAGAATTTGAAGATTATTTGCAAGATACATCTTACTTGGAAGAACTAGAGAAACACCAATTTTCAGTTTGGTGAGTGACTGTATTCTGGTTTTATATTTTTAATTTAAATTCATTGAATACAACAAATTTTAGGCATCATCTTCTCTTATTAGTATTTGATTTTTTGACAAAAATTGATCACATTCCTATTGTAGATTTAGAATATGTAACCTGACGTGGAAATATTTGTAGTCTAAACAGAGATGCGGGTGTGCAAAACATCAATAAGATATGGCAACAGTATTTATTTTTATTTTTTTCCATTAAGATTATTGGTACACTTAAAGCAAATAATACAGTTACATTTATCATTTGGATCTTGTACCTTTCCATGATATGTCTTGGTTTATTTTTTCCTCATAACCCTGCCTTCCCTTCACCCCCTTCACCCTCCCCTATTTACAAAGACTTTGTTTCCATTTTTTCCTTTTCTCACATTTTTCCTTTTCCCTTATTTCCTTTCCCCTCCCCTTCCCACTTCCCCTTTAGCCATTTTCTTCCTATTTCACACTATCACTTATACAATTTGAACCTTATTTACACTTTTACTTTTTCACACCAGAGAAACTATTCAGTATTTACTCTTGCGTCTGATTTATTTCACTTAAGAGCATAGGCTCAATGTGCATCCATTTGTCTATAAATGCCTCTAGTTTCTCATTCTTTATGGCTGAGTAGTACTCTGTTTTATAGAAAAGCCACATTTTCTTTATCCAATCTCTGTTTGTTGGGCTTTTAGGTTGTTTCCAAGTTTTAACTATTACAAACTGTGGCAACAGTATGTTTTAATTGCATAAAGTGTCGCACTCACATATAGAGAAAATTATGGCCAAATTTATTACAGGATGCAGAAAATTTCCCTGAGAAAGGTCTAGTCAAATCTTAGGGAGAAGATTTCAGTGGATAAATGGTGACAGTATCATGTGGGCAGAGATGGAACTAGAAAGTCTCGATGGGTTTGATCCATTCTGGAAATCTTAAGTTTCCTCAAGACCGAAGCAGGCATGATAATTGCTGCCCTTACTTGGTGGTCTGTACACTGATGCATCTATTTATGCAAGCACACCTACTCCAGACATGAAGAAAGGTGTGAGACGGTGAGGAGTGGAACATCTCGAAGGTAATGAGTACAGAGTTTTGCCATAGTGTCTTCACCAAGGGTCCATAGCGACCGTGAGACAGTGGGAGCATCCTTGGGAAGGAGGAGACAGGGAGTGTCTGGGCAAAGCTCCCCGCTTCCTCAGGTCTGTTCCCTGAGTGGTTTTCTGATCCAGCAATTGATCGGGCCTGTGACTTGGTTCTTAGTTTGCTGTCACTCCTCCATCCTGGAGCCACTGTCTGGAGGATGTGACATCAGCTCAAGCATCACTTACTCAGTCTCCTTCTTTGTGACTTCTGCTGGCCTTCATCTACACTTAAAGGTCTAACAAGTCTCACCCATGCTTCCTGGAAATAGCTGGAATGTGGACTCCTGGTGAAGGGTGATTTATTTTCTGGATCAAGAGAACTGGGTCTCTGCACAAGGAACATCAAACATGAAGAGGAGCTGAAGAGCTCAGTGTCACAATCCATTTTTATTTTACATATAGTCTTAAAAAGTTGAAGGATTTCCCAGCATCTCGGTGCTTCAGTTCCAAATTACACCTTTAGCCTTTAGTATGAAACTCCCAGACATTACTGCTTCAGCAGGCTTCCCATGGTCTCTCGGTCTGGACCGGGGAGTGGCTGCAAAAGCTCCTGGGAAAAATCTTGTTCTCCCTCTGTTTTTCTTAATAAAGTTTTATTGGAATTCAGATACATGCATTGGGTTACTTACTTCCATTGGCTGTTTTTCCCTACAGTGGCAGAATTTGTTACTGGGGAAGAAGACAATATAGTTCACATAGCCTAAAATATTTGCTACCTGGCTCTTTACCGAAAAAGTTTACTTACGCCTGCTCCATACAGCTTCGAAACTGCTCTTCCGTTCTCTCCTGACAATCACACATTCTCATTTTTTAATTCTTCTTAACACCTTTTTCATTAGTATGTGTTTGTAGTACATACGGTTTCCATTCCTCGCAGGGAATTGGCACGTGTATGAAACACATCTGAATCCTCTTTCATCTCCTTTATCTTCCATCCCTTCTCCCTGCATCCATTTCTTGACCCCTCCTTTTATGTACCTGTTTTCAATACTTAATGTTTATATTTTTTGTATTGGATGCTATACAGATTAGTTTTTAATTAATAAGTAGAAATTATGTATATTTATAGCATATAATACGATATTTTGATATCTGTATGCTTTGAGGACTAGGTATATCAAAATATTTAATGTACGCATTGCCTCATGTACTTCACTTTATGGTAAAAACACTTAAAATCTACATCCTTAACAATTTTCAAATATGCAATGTATTATCATAAACTATAGCCACCACGTTGTATATGAGATCTCTTGAATTTACTCCTCCTCATTGAAATTTTGTCTCCTTTGATATACATCTGTATTCCCGCCTCCTTCTGCCCACAACCTGTGGTAACCACTATTAAGTTCTTTGATTGTATGATTTCGATTATTTCAGATTCCATCTACTAAATGAGGGTATGCAGTTTTTTTTCTTTTGTGGGGGTTAATGTCCTTTATCTGTGCTGTCACAAATGACAGAATTTCCTTTCTTGAGGGAGGATATTTTCCTATTGTGCATATATACAGTGTTTTCTTTATCCATTCATTTAGATTTATTCCTTATCTGCTTACTGTGAATGTGCTGCAATGAACATAGGGAAGCTACCATTACTTTCAAGATATTTGTATGTGTTTCTCTCTCACCATTTGGGTCTCTGATACATTTTGGTCATCAGCTGCTGCACGCTGAATCCCTGGAGACTTCGTGTTCTGTGACGAACATTTTATTGCTCAACATTCCAAGGCTGTGAATTCAGACAGGATGTATCATGACAAACTATTCTGTTTGCTCAAACTAAGTCACGAGACCAGCCAAAGGAGGAAGGTTGTGCCTCCTGACACAGGAACGACGTTGGCATTGCAGAAAAGCACAATGTGATGCAAAGTACCGTGTGGCTCTCTTGGACACACAATCTGTCACATTGCGTTTCATACACTTCGGCACAGCTTCTAGCATGAGTGTCAACAAATATTTATTGAACAAAACATAAAAATTAAAAGAAATGAACAAAACACACAAGTTTGAAGAAATGAAATCGAAAGCTTTGTGCATAGGTTGACCCGAGTGTGTGCTCCTGTCCTCCTGTTCCGCCACCATTCTGGAGCTTTGAACAACTTGTTTGGAACCTCTGAGGGTGTTTATCCATGTGTCGGATTTGTGAGATTTGATGGTAATAGTGACAGTTGAGAGAAAAACATATGAAAGCTGTCCTTCCTAGAGAGATATGTAGATTCTTAACAAGAGCAATTATTAGTAGTAGCATCAATGATAATGTAGTTAAGGAAATATGTTTTCCAAAGGTTAAAATAGAAGGCTGTTATAGTTTGGACCTTAAATATCTCCTGAAGGTCCACATGCTGAAGGCTTAGACACCAGCCTGTGGCATTACTGAGATCTGGTGGAATCTTGACGAGGTGGAGCCTGTGGAAGAAAGTTTTTGGGAATTATCAGTCAGTATTTACTAGAGGAACAGATCTAACAAGATATACACATATACATGAATTTACAAGATTGGCTTACAGTGGCCACCCACAGAGTTGGATAAGGAAGAGTGCAGAGGGTCTGTCTGTATACTGGAGGCGAAAGGATTTAGTCAAAGTCTGGTGCTCACTGCAGTGTCCCCTGCAAGTCCGTATCAGGAGGCCGATGGGTCAGCACTGGAAGGCTGAAGAGTCTACACTGGCTGCAGGCCGAAGGATCTGCACCAGAAGCTGAAGAGTCTGCACTGGGAGGCAGAAGGATGGTGTCCATGTTGAAATGTCATACCTTTATACCATCCAGGTAATGAGCCGCCCTAGGATGGGTGTGGAATTGCTGATCCAATTTAGTTCAGCTTTTCTTAACCAACTATTCAAATTGACACAGTCAATCAACTGTCACAGGGGACGTGGCTTTGAAGGGGATATTGGGACCCTGCCTGCCACCGCACTACTCCTGGCCATCGTGAGCAGCCTGCAGCCTCTGCTGCCGCATGCTTCATCATCATGCACAGGCACAACAGGGCCCACTGGCAGTGGTCTGAAACTTCTGATACTGTGAGCCAAAAATAGGCTTTTCCTCTTTCAAGATGCTCACCTCAGGTGTTTTGTCACAGCAATGGAAAAGTGATGAACACAAGTGCTAGGTTGCTCTCTGATGGTTTCTCACCTTCCACGTCCGCCGTCCCTTTTGCTGTTCAGATGCACTAATGCTCTAAGGGCCTTTGCACTTGTGCCTCTTTTCTCTCTTTTGTCTTTTGCACTCCTGGTTCTTTGTGTTGTGGCTAAGTGGCAGGGCTTTACTGACCACCCTATGTAAAGCAAGACCTTTCCCCTGTCTAGTTAACCTACCCATCTTCTTGTCTGTTTCCTTTAAAAGTACAGTGTAAACCATTTTTTGCATTGATATTTTGATGTACTCATTTCTGTTCCCTCTCACCAAACAGAAACTGTGGGTAAGTGTCCCTCTATTCTGGTCACTTCTGGTTCTTCAGGCCCAATCCTGGAGTACTGCACATAGTATGACCATTAAATGATTTTTGAGTAAGTGAATAGAAGTATGCATGACTGATCACTTCTCTTTCTCAATCTCTCAACCTCTTTGGGCTGTCATAACTATTTATTTACTTCCAGTCTCTTCTTTCTCTTCTGTCTCCCCGCCCTCTGTCCCCCACCTCTGGTATTATAGAATAATTAACTGATATACACGTTTCTTTTAAAACCATGGCTGAGGATATGGGGGCTGCTGAGACCTCTATAAACTTCTGTTTTAAATGGTCTGAGATACAATCTCAACAATTTCCTTGATGTTTTATTAGAGCTAGTAAATCATTTATTGAGGCAGTCTTTACCCAAATCCTCTTCAAATCCCCATAAAATGCATTTAACACAGAATACCGTGGTACACAGCTTCAAAGATATGTCTGACTTTGGGTGGGAAAGTACTTGCTCCAATGCAGCAAATTCATATGTTTATATTTTCTGTCTGTCTGTCTGTCTGTCTTGTACACTCACATGTTAATGCGCTCCTCCTCAAGCCCCGCTGCTTCATTGAACCTACCGATTTTGTTGAATTTAGTAGAGTTTAAAACTTTAGTAAATCACAGTTACCACATGTGTTCAATGTACAAAGACTTTAGCTAGACAAATGAAAGTTTGGTTCATTGCCCAATCATTTTTAACAAATATAATTTGAAGACCATTAAACTTTTTTTCTCCACAAGAAAGATATTTAACTAAATTGGCTCTGAGGGTTTGAAGAGAACATTATCTCCACATATCATACCGTCATCGAGCCTCTGCCATAGGGTCGGGGATCAGAGGTGACTCCTCTCTGTCTCTCCTGGCAGGATCTGCATCATGGCTGATTCTTCTGTACTCTCAGTATGTTGACATTTTTTGTTTTCTTTGATATATATGTTTATGTGAGGTCATCATCTGCTGCAAATTTAGATGATATGAGATCATCAGGGCATCCCTCAGTGCTTTGTAAATTGCTTACACTTAATAAAATGTGTTGAATTAATATATGAAAGGGAAGGTCAGCTGAGACCATTAGCAGTTCCAGGAGAAAGTTCTGTAGAAAGGACCACTGGTGCAAAACTTGAAGCAGACTTTAAACATTCTGGGCCAAGTTTATCTGTGATGACGATTGCTGCTTCTCCTCTTTCTCCTTCTTTTTCTCCTTTGATGTCTCTTCCTAAATGTCTCTGCTCCCCTGTCTTCTGATGACAGCACTCTCCCACCAACCTATACATATTCCAAGGGGTTGGCTGTGGTGCATGGTATTTTTCTATCACTGCTGTGATTGGCCCAGGGCTGGCCATGTGACCTGAACCAAGCTACCTTGGATTTTATATTTGTTACTTGGAAATAAAAAGTTTTTCTCCTCCACTAGGTCTTCAGCTGGGGTGATTGCATTTTGATGCTTCCTGTCGACAGGGAAACCCTCTTACTCCCTGTACTTTCCCTTAACCCTTCTTTTGAATGGTTAACATTTGCAGCCTATTTGAAATCAGGACGTGAAAAGGTTTCATGGATGTTTTATAGATGATACATATGTATTTTGTTCTGTGGACAAGAAAATAATAAAAAGATGGCTCATGGGGACTTATGTAGGCATGATTATGTAGATAAATTCTATGCTCACGTGAGAACTTGTAGAGTAGCCTTTCTATGGGCTGTTCCAGTTATGTGGTTTTGGTTACATGCAGTAAACTGTGGTCTAAAAAATAAATGGAAGATGGAAAGTTCCAGGAATAAAAAACTCATACGTTGTAGCTTGCACGCTGCTCTGAATAGCATGATGAAGTCTTCCACCAACCCGTTTGTTCCAGCCCAGGGTGTGAATCATCCCTTTGTCTGGTATGTCCGTGTTAGCTGTCTCCACTGTCAGACTGACCGATACAGCACCACTGGGCTGTGTACATGTGAGCCTTACTTTTGGGACAACACTTTGTCACAGTGCCTACGTCATTCACCTCACTTCATCCTGTCTTGCTTCTTCATCCTGTCTTGCTTCTTGTTATACCATCTCGCATCATCACAAGAGTGAGAGAACAGTACAGCAAGACATTACTGAACAGAACACATGTACATAATTTTTATTATAGTGTATATAACTGTTCTATTTTACTATCATTGATTGTTGTTAATCTCTGATTGTGCCTAATTTATAAATTAAACTTATCATACACGCGTATGGGAGAAGCATAGTATGTCTGTGGTCTCCAGCATCCACTGGACATTTCATGATGTATCCTTTGCAGACAAAGGGAGACTACTGTATTTCAGGTAAAAAAATATTACCTACTGGAAAGCTTTAACTTAGTTTTCTTCTATGAGAGCAAGGACTTTGGGGAGAGAACTTATTGTGTCCATTCAGTTAATTACATAAATAACCACTCATTTGCCTGTTTAATTAGAACTATAGAATCTTGTAGCCTGTGGAGTGAATTGAGTTCCTTTCTTCCTAATGCAGTGCCTTAATCTTTGTACAGTGATTTCTCCAAAGAAGTAAGCCAGGCGATGTGTTAAGTACCTCTGAAAGTTGTGCTAATGACTGTTAGAAAGCAGTAGATATCACTCTAGTGGCTTAAAGATGTTAACATAGTTTTCAGGGGTATCTAACTCTCGACTGGGGAGAAGGCTCATAACAAGACAACCTTAAAATGTTTCCATTACTATTCCAATGCGATGAGGTAGGTAGGCAGCCAGAGAATCATACACTTTCTGAGCAGGAAGGGATCTTGGGGATGATTTAGTTCAGCCCAGTCAGTTTACACAAGTTCTGTAAAGCTGAGATCTCTAGAAGTTCAGTGCTTTGCCCTAGGTCATGGAGGTAATAAGTAGTGGGAATGGGGCTGGAAGCCACATCCTTTCTACGTCAATCCGCCTCACCTGTAAATAATAAATTCTCCTGAGAACACACTCTAGTCCTTTCAGAGCTTCCTGTTTCTATCAATTGCATGCCACTCTGATATTTATCAATACCTCAAGCAGAATGTGCCGATTCTGGGGAAAACCCATTTAATGGATTAATGTATGTTTTCTCCTGCCAAGGAAGAGTGGAGTGGGCAGAAGCCCAGATGTTTGCAAAATGCACATGTTGGCCACACAGACTGAGGCCTTTCTGTGTTCTCAGCTGGGAATTTATGTGGCTGACCTGAGTGTGTTGCTTAGGGAAGGAATGGGTTAACAATACAGGAAAGTTATTCTTTAATAACAGTGATACAATTTCCTTTTTATAACACACATGTGATTTGCCATTGAAATAAAATGCAGATGCTTCTTTGATTGGCGTATTCCCTATTGTGCCTTTCGAAAACACCTTCACATATGGTCTGCCTCATTCTTGAGAAATGACTTGTTGTTTATGTCATACAAACAGAACAGATTGATTTTACAGTGAGTAAGGAGGTTGATGAATTATACGTTGGAGAGAAATCCTTGTCTTGACAATCTAAACACTTGAAAATAAATGTTGCCTTTTGGAAAAGGCTCTCATGATCCATCCATGATCCCTTCATTTCATGCTTCCTTTCTAGGGATTAAATAGATATACATATGCAGTCTCCTGAACACAAAGGTAGTTACAGGCATCTCAAATATAATTTTCTTTTTGCCATCAAATACATCCTGGGAGATACTGGGTCAAAATATGACAGAGCTGCCCTAAAAGAACCAACCAGAAATATCAACTTGAGCATTGTATCTGTACTATGACCAGAATGAGACATTCTTGATCTTGAGTAGAATTATCCAATTTATCCAGTGAATTTTAAATTTAAGATGCTTATGCTAAGAAGCTTTCTAAGGGATCCCCTACTTTATTCCTTAAAAATTACTCTGCATAATTTAGTGAAGGTAATGCTGTGTACTCTTTCCTCCGATAACAGGCTAATCACATCCATTTGTGCAAACTTTTACAGGTTATAAATCTCTTTCCTATTCATTATTTTCCATGTGATGCACAGAAAAGCTTTACAGGTATATAACTGAGGTGCAGGGAGATTAAGCACCGTACTAACACTTAACTAGTGTTTGTCTATCACCATCCAGTGTTTCTTACCCTGTAGCATGTCATCTCCCTCACCAGCCTCAGATACACACAGAAATTTACTTTGTGCATTCATAACTTTTAAAATAGTATGTTTCACATTACATTCTATTGGCATGCCTTGCAGAGTTGGGTGGATGCAGAGTGAAGATAAAATGCCATGGAGGCATCTAAACCAGGTCTAGAATGGTTTGACAGAGGAAAATATACAGGGAGGTATACTCCTGAGAGCGATTCATTGGTGATCCACTTACACTTAGATATTTATTGATTCATGTCTTCATCTTATTAGGTATGGCTGAAGCATGACCATATATTCATCCTGAGAAGGAATCAATCTTGGTAGCTAAGCATATAGTGTCTGACGTCATAATACCTCCACTCAAGTTAGATTTATGACTTGAACAAGCTCCTAGAACTCCTTGTACCTGAATTTCTTTATTTGCGAAATTAAGCTAGTAGTATATGTCCACAAAAAGGGAGGGCTAGTCTCCCTTTC